CTTTAAATGACACCAGGGTGCTCACGACTCCCAGGTCTGTGGCCACATCTCTCTCTGAGCACCCACCCTCACATCCGACTCCTCTCCTTCTCTCTCCCTGTTTTCCAGCCACTGCAGCCTCATGGTATTTGAGACTGAACCAGGTCCTCAGACCCACTTCTCATTCTAGATTCGCGTCATGAGCCAAGCCAGAAACTCGACCTTGTCTTCTGCTTCTCCCTCTTGTTCTGTAACTAGTCGCCGATGTTGTCCCTCCCGCCCCTTGGCTAGTTCTCAGTCTGCCCACCTTCTCCCTGGCCCTCCTCCTCTGGGCCATCTGTTCCTTCAGCACAGTCACGGTAGCCTCGGGTGCCCCTGTCCTTGGTCTCCAGCCTGCTCCCACGTGGCCTGTATCTCCAGCACCACTAGGAGGCTCTTTGGGAGATGCAAGTCTGATTGTTCATCGCCCGTTCATCTGGCCCGTTTCATGTGTCCTAATCACTTGGCCATGCTCCCCACCCAGCACTGGGGGTTGAACCAGTGCTTTACCCCTGAGCTTCGTCACCAGCCCTTTTCATTTTGGATTGTGAGGTAGGACCTTGCTGATTTACCCAGGCTGGCCTTGAACTTGAGATCCTCCTGCCTCTGCTCCCAATTTGCTGGGATGACAAGGTGGGATGACAAGTGATCCCTCTGTGTCTGCAGGCCAGCTCCTTAATCAGCCTTGCCCCTTCCCTTTGTCCCCTGTGCCTGTGTGAGTCTGCTTCCTTACAGCCCTCACCTGGTGTGACCTCACCTGGCGTGACCTAGCTGTAGACTCAGTTGGGTTTTCTTTTACTTTTATCAAGAAACTGTCCAGTAGGCAACAATATTTTTCTTCTCCAACCAATTATTGTCACATTGCACACTGAAGTTAATGGGCCCAGGATGCCCACATGCTACCACCGGAACCTGCCATTCAGGAAGTGTAAAAGAAGACCTCAGGGCAGACCCGGAGCTCCCTCAGCATGGGTCACATCTTTGGTCCTGAAACCTTCCCTTGCTTGGCAAGGGTTTGGGGCCACCTCATTTCCTGTCCCTACTCCAGTTCCCCTATTGCTAAGCCCCGGTCCTCACCTTCACTCTCCCAGGCCTGACCAGTTCTTCACCAACGACCTTCTGGCTGTCGCCATGTGAATTTTGTCTTTTCTTGACCTCCCAGCTGTTTACACCCCATGCCTTAGGGTATGGCCTCCCCACTGTGGGTCGCAGAAGTCCTGGACTCCCAGCTTTTACCTTGGAACCCTGACCCCGGTATCTCTTGGGACTTCTTTAGAAGGCAGCTCCCCTGTTCCCACAGGCCATCACTATCCTGGTGCCTCGGGCACCCTGCGTGGCACAGAGGCACGCCAGGAAAAACCCGAGTGTCCAGTCTGCAGCTGTCTTGGCTCCTGATCTTTACCTTTCTGCTGCTAACTGCCGGCTGACCAGCTAACCACTTCTTACCATCTTTGCCAGCAAGGGAACCGGAACTAATGAGTGTGTTGAAACCCAAGCCTCCTCCTTGGACTTCTTACCATAAAGGGTGATGAAGGCTTGCTGAACACCTCAATGCTGTTCCAACATGCCAAAGATATATCAGTTCTCAGCCTTTGGGCTGCACCATTTGAAAATCTTTTTTTTAATGAAGTCCATGGCCATATTATAGCTTTACTTTATAGCAGTATTTTATTTAAGAAAGATGTAATCTGCATCTAGAGAAAGGGCACAGAAATCATTGCATTTGTATGGGAAACCAGAATAAGTACGTAACTGTTGGTCAAATTCAGTTGACTGTGTGTCTTCACGTTCAAACGGCAGCTTCTCATTTCATCTGGAGCCGCCTCCAGGTCTGAGCTCTGGTGTATACCTCTGGTCAAATTGAAGTGCTTATGTCATCTGGCAACTGGGCTGTTCACAATGCTCCCTTGGGGCCTTTCGTTTTGTGTGGTTTTTGTCTGAAAGGAGGATTACTCATGAGTAGAAGAAACAGGGTCATCAGTGTCTTGGGTCCTCAGAGTGGAATAAAAGCAGTTTGTAAAGTGCAGTCCCTGTAGGAGAGGGTGTCCTGCCTCTCAGGATACTCAGGTTTTACCAGACTTGCACGCTGACGCCTCTTTTTGGGACCCGGCTGCAGCCCGCGGAGACTGCAGCACCCAGCATGCACTTTTCAACATCTTCTCACCATCATGGCCTGTGCCTTGGCTCAGTGACGAAGGTGACTCGAGGGACCTGGTCCAATTCTGGGAGAAACGTTTGTGGCCCTCACTGCACTTTGGGCACGGTTGCTCAAGTTCATCACTGCACTTGTTTCACATGTTTACTTTTCAAACACTTGGAGAATGAACAGGTGGTTGCATGACTGTGGTGTTTGTTTTAACAGGCTGAAAGGTGGAGGTAACTTAGACATGTCCTATGATGCAATAGGAAAATACCCAATTATTCCGTTTTGGGCTCAGCTTTGGGTTTCAGTTAAAACTGCTGATGGCAAAGCTCAGCAGGTCTTGCCGAGTAGCACTCTGGCAGCTGCTGCATGGGAAGTGGGCTCGCTGGTAACAGTGGCCTGGTCTTGGTTACCTGTGACCTTCCCAGTGGCTGCAGTGCGGGAACTTGGTGAGGGAGCTCCTCTCAGAGCCTCTGAGATCACCTGTGCCACTGTGACTCCCGAGGAGCTGGAAGCCCCCATCTGTTCGGCATGCTCTAGAATCCAGCTTGCAGGACCCTCGGCCTGAGTGGAGAACACGCTGAAGGCAAATCCCCAAAACGACAGCTGATTGTTGCCACCTCATCCTCATCCATTCAGGACAGAGGCCAGGATGGGCTTTGGAACCACCATCACCAAGCAAGTGGAAGGAGCAGGGGTTTCACTGGATAGCTAATCACTCACGATTTCAGGGTGTTTCTTCCTGAACCTCAATGACTTTAAGATTACGGGTGAACACACACCGCCTTTATGATTCACAGCCAACTCTACTGGTGTATGACCAAGTTGTTTTCAGTAACAACAGGGCTGGGGGACATTGTTTCCCTCGTGGCTTCTTCTGAGCCACTCCAAGTAGCTTTGTATTTCCCTCCAGAACTTATGCAAAGTCGCTTATGATAGAAGGCGTTAGGGCTGGGGCGTAGCTCATTGGTAGAGCACGTGCTTAACACACATGAGGCCCCAGGTTCCATTTCAGCACCAAAACCAGAAAGGGTAGGGGGCGTGTGGTTCTTGGCTGTGAACATGGAGGTGCCAAACCCACACACCAAGGTCACACAAAGATCACACAAAGCAACTTGCTTATCTATCTGCCAGCTCAAACTAGTAGCTCAACCATTTCTAAGACTGACGAGTCCTTGGGACACTTCCTAAATTAAATATTGATATGCTGTGCCTATTTTATCTTCCCTGGCACCATTTCCTTTCTGGAAAAAAAATAAAATGTTCCCCAGTGTGGTATATCAATTCCTCTACCAAAGGAAGTGTTAGTATTCGTGAAGCATAAGCCAAGAATAGTTACATCAGCTAAGTGTGTAAAAGGAGAGGGAGAGAGAATCGCCAGCTCATGAAAACTTAGACGGCAAGTGATGTGTTCAAAGCAGATCCCAAGGCTCCCAGAGCAGCCTTTCATAGCCAAGGGAGCTGCATCCAGTCCCTGGAAGGTGCAGCTCACTGAGCAGCACTCTGCAGGGGAGAAGGAGGGCTAAGTGACTCCCAAGCCAAGGGGTCAGAAGGACCATCCAAGCGCAGGACACACAGGGCAGGAATTTCGGCAGAATCTGGGAGGGGTGACTTTCAGTGGGTATCAAAATTGAAAGTAGTTCTGGAATAGTGCACTGGCCTCTGGGAGACGACGAGTGTGACGACTGATTTGAACATCAGAGGTGCTGTTGAGCGGGGTGGCTGCAGAAGTTGCACAGGTCCCTGCAGGGGATCTGCTGTGACCCCCAGCACTGGGGAGGTGTGGTGACGTGCCCACAAGGGTAACCAAGTACGTAGGGCGTGCTCCCCGATGCCAGGTGGATACCAGGCAAGGAGTCTCTCCCAAGCCAGACAGAAGCAGCCCCAGCACCTGGTGATTGGAAGATCAGAGGAGAAGCAGGACAGGGGCGGTGTTAAGGACACGTGGACGACCGCCTTCATGACAGAATTTTAAGATGTGGCAGCGGGCTAATTCTATGATGGAAAACAATTACGTAGAATAAATTATCAGCAGCTGAGAACGTTTCATATCCATTCTAAAAATGTGTGCGTGCACACATGGACACGTGGAAGACTCGGCCCCGGGCACAAAGCTGTTCGTAGTGGTTGTGGGGTGGGCAGGTCACAGTGGAGGAGAAAGAAAGCCATGGCTCTAGTTGGCTGTAATGAGAGACGCCCACACTTCCCACTTGTTGCAGGAGGTGGACAGGGGACTTGAATAGCGCTATTCAGCTTGAAAGGTGCTCATCATTACAGATGTCAGGTCATGTGTATAATTCAGATGTACTTATTCATTAATTTAGCCAACGTTTATTGAGTGCCTACTGTAAGGGACACTGTGCACAGCACCTGGGCTCTGTAGCAGAGAAAGAACAAAGTGCTTTCACCTCGTGGACTCGGGCACACAGGCTCAGGCTGTGCCAAGGAACCGAGTGGCAGAGCCTCCAAGGGGATGCATGTGGCCAGTTCTGAGGAGGAGCACTTGTTGCTACAGTGAAATCAAAAGTGACCAAAATGCATGTTGAGTTTTCTTTATTTTTACTATTTTTTTCTTTCAGTCGCTGAGTCATGCATTCTGTGATAGTTTTTGATGATAATTGGTTTTAATTTTGAAACTTAGAAAGAGGGTGCACAGCCGCTTTGTGACTGTGATCTGCATGACCGTCACGTCACTGGTTTCTGCTCTTACCCATTTGTCCCCTCAGCTTGCACAAAGGAAGAATCTCTGAATAAATCTCTGTACAGATGGATGCAGGCTTGTGTGCCTGGTGTGAACTGTGCCACCATCAACCTCAACGCTTATCTTTTTCTTCCACAGAAGAAACAGAGGACCAAAGACCTTTCTCGGGTGTTTCACTCCTACAGTCCGTACGATCACAAGGTAAGAGGAGCACGCTGTCATGCCTCGGGTGTTGGTTATTGGTGATGATTGGCATTTTAATATGAAAACCTCCAGGATTGTATTCAGTAATGATACCTTCAGACTGAGGTCTTTCTGAACATGGAGCACAGTTTTTATCAATGTATGCTTATTTTAAAGTACACTTACCCGTTAAATTTATGTTTCAATTTAAATTGTCAATGCCTATAAAGATAACAGAAAATTTGAATTTCTAAACTAAAATAATTATATTTCATTTACATTAAAAGCCATTGATAGGGCTGGGACTGTCACTTAGTGGTAGATCACTTGCTTAGCACATGGGTTCTATCTCTAATACCGCCAAAAAAAAATTATCAACATGCCAGTGACATCTCAAAAACTGAAAAGACAGATTTGGGGTATTTGTTTGGTTTTTGCTATTTTGTTGTTATAGTTGTTGTTTTTGGTTAGTTTTGTGTATTATTTCCAAACAGTCCAGTGAGTAAACTAGGTTTTTAGATTGGTAAAGGTAGTTGAAACGTTGACTGCCAAATCTTGATTACCCATTGCTCTGGTTGTTATTTTCCTAAATGATAATCCTTACAAAAAGTGTGCAGCATTATATCTGAAATATTTACTATTAAGAGTTTTGCTGGGCCAGTGTGGTAGTGCACACCTGTATTCCCAGTGACTCGGGAAGCTGAGGCAGGAGGATCACAAGCTCAAGGCCAGCCCCAGCAATTTAGTGAGGCCCTAAGCAACTTAGTGAGACCCTGTCTTAAAATTTAAAAAAAAAAAAAAATTAAAAGAGCTGGTGATGTAACTGACTGGTAAAGCACCCCTAGGTTCAATCCCTAGCACAAAAATAAATAAATAAATAAATAAACAGATTTTGAAAAGAAAGTTTTGCTGGACAGAATAAGACCAAAAACTTTCATGGCCTCCATGTACCATGGCCTGCTTTATGAAGACTTTTGGTCATTCTTGCTTCATTTTATACCCACGCTTTCCATCCCCTCCCCATTTGAAGAGTTCCCAGATTTCTAAGTATTTTACTATATATTTATAAAAGATAAGGACTCCCTTATAAAAAAATCACATACTTTAATTCATTTTTGAGAAAATGCTTAACTCTTCATGGGAATATATCACAAGATCTGTAAGACTCATGTTAAGCTTCTGAGCTAAGTGAGGTTCCAATAAATCTGCTAATTTGAGGTGATTTCAGGAGCAAACGAAAAATGTGCACAGTTGAAATGCTAATATAAACTGAAATCTTATTCTATGAAATTATAGGCTGACATGTGGTGGGGATTGTTTAACTATCCAAAATAAGTGGTGTGAAGGCCACTTCTCTCAGCTGGGAGCAGAGTTGTCTGCCTCTGGAGGAGGTGCTCATGGAAGCAAAGAGAACTGAATGGTTTCTGGTGTTTCTAAAGTGACCATTGACTTAAGAACCAGAAATTTGTAAAAAATGTTTATGCTGAACATGACCATAGCGCCAGGCAACACTAAGTCATTTCTTTTTTTTTTTTTTTTAATTTTATTGTTGGTTGTTCAAAACATTACACAGTCATTTCAACTTAGCATTTTTGAAGCTAAATCAGTCACTTTGCAGAGCGTAGAACTTTGTTGGTGACTGAGAGGGCCAGTGACCTCTGACCATGCCGGGGTCGGAGCAGGCTGATGGGTAATGCAACAGCAGAAGGAACCCGACTGGCCAGATTACTGATGGGCTGTTGCCTTTGGGGGGGGGGGGAGATAAAGCCTTTAATTAACCCCAGCACTGGCTAAAGTTAGCGTTTAGCCCCAGCAACACACACACACAGGCTGTGACATATCAAAGGTTTTGCATGGCTTGCCTAACTTTTGCCCACTTCTAACATTCCTGAATTTGTAGTTCAGGGAAATTCCACGACTCTTTTATTAGAACTCCTGATGGAACCTGGCCATCTGCAGCCCTCCTGGCTTCCTCTTCATATCCTTTGTGGCACTGTATCAAAGTCACCTCCGATTATTTTGGCTTCTCTTGTGAAGACTTCATTCCGCTACAAATTAGTCATCAGGCAATGAAGAGTTGGATATCCCTGCTGGATGCAGTTCCCTTTGATCTTTGCTTTAACCTTGGTAATAAATTATTGTAAGTAGGTAGGTTGTTTGATGAGTGATTTCTGAAGCTCCAGGTTTGGTCTGTTGGCTTTCTGTTTCTTATTGTGTGTGTGTGTGTGTGTGTGTGTGTGTAGTGAAGGAAAAAGGGAACTTTTGTTGTAGGCAGCCCCTGGGCCCTTTGTAACCTCCTCCGATTTTCTCAGGCAGCATTCAGGCAACTCTAACCAGGTTACTCTTGACTTCTTCTCTTGTTTGGCCTGTCCACCAAGACTGGAACCATATAAAGTAACAGGCACTGTGTTCTCAATTTAGCATGCTGTTTTTCCCCATAAATAAAATAATAGAGGGTTGTGTTTCAAGTTACTTTGTCATTTTAATTACCCAATTACATTCAAGCAAATTAGTTCTAGGCAGATAGGTTTTATTGTAAAAACATTTTACAAGGTGTGGTTAACGTTGGTTCTAACATCTCATGCTCAATGAGCTCGCTAGAGTGATCGTCAGAAAAACACACACAATTGTAAATGAAAGCTTCTACAAAGCACAAACCAGTTGCTTTCGATTTGCTTTCTGAAAGTCAAAGAGGGGGTGAGTTGGGACAGTGAAATAAGAGGGACAACTGCTGATCAACAATGGTGAGGGATGGGCTTGTGGTGGCTTCTCCTGTGTATCTTGTCATATGATTGAAATTTTCCATAATAAGAAAGATGCAAAAGTAAAATGAACCCTCGTTGCCCCGGGGAGCGCATGCTCCGATTCTCTTCCTTGCTGGCTAAACCCCTTTAGAGTTAATTTTCTCCTTGACCTACATTTGTCCCAGGGGAGGAACACTCAGCATTCAGTGGGTTCATCATGCTGAGTAAACTAAAAAATGCCACTCCTGCTCCAAAGTTGGCCTGATTTCCTGGGATTTCTTCCCAAATTATAGTGGGTCATTTAAATGCTAGCCTTGCCTCCTAGAAACTGTTAAAGCGGTTCTAATTACAGGGGTAGCCAGCGCGACCGTTTTGTTCTTGGTGAGTCAGCTATATCACTCTTTCCTGCCCCCAGCCCAGATTGCTCCTGCCTGACCCCAGACACAGGAAAGTCACCAGGTTAAACAAACGTATTGTTCGAGTGAGGCCAGGTGCGTTTCTTAATCATACCCCAAAACCCTTGCTGAGGTTGTAAGTGGTCAGTTGGTTTTCTCTGAAATGCTGTTGCAAAAAGCAAACAAAGCTCAAAGCAAAAAGTGTGCCCAGAATAAGTCCTAGGAAATGCATCATTCCTTACACTAAGAAACGTGGCTCCAGATTGGAAGAATTTTATTTCAGACTTTTGTCTCTGGTTTCATGTCCAATTTTTAAAAATTGTTTTCAGGAATTCTTCTAGTCTTTAAAAAAAAAAAAAAAAAACTTGCACAGAAAGGCTTGACCAGAGCCGGTTCCCATTTATCTGTAATAAAAGGGAACATTAGTAAATGTAATCCAAAAGAGTAGGTAATCTGATTGTATTTTAGGCATTCTTTCCCACGTGATTTTAATAAATAGCAAACATGGCTTGTGGTTTCTGAAAGCATGTCGTAATCCCTACCGGGAAAGGTCGCAGGGCAGAGGCCTTCCAGGTCACAGAAGGTCAACCTTCCGTGGGTTTCCTTCAAGTAAGTCACAAGTGAGAGAAGGCTACAATTACAACACTTTATACCAGCCATGTGTGGTGTGTCCTTGGCCTGAAGAAAATCTTAGCGTCTCTTTTTTTTTCTTTCTTTTTGTTCGATTTTATCAGAATTGTGTGTTCAGGGGGAAATCTACGTTTATTAGCCATATGCAGATGTTTAGAATCTAATATAAAATCATAAAATATGAAAATGCTTGGAAGGAAAAAGAAAATTCTGTTTAAGTCTGTGACAGTTTACAACATGTGGAAATTTGAGTAAATTCCTAAATGCAATTCATCGTTGTGACTTAACATCTACTCCACCATTAGAGTGAGCCTTCAATAGGTTGTCACTATTGCGCTGTATGTGCCTTGTGAAGAGGGCATCTCGTTTTCATGTTGGTCATCTTTTCACAGGTACAGTCATAGATCAAGGTGTGCTGAGGGGGTCATGTAGTTCATAGCTCCGTGTTGGGCTTTGCTTTGTGTCTGGTGACTGACCGTTATTTTAACTATCTTTCTCCATACCTAGATTTATCTCAACTAAGCTTAAGTAAATTCATGCGTGTCCAGGGGGCAGCTCTGAGTGAGTGCTCTTGGTAAGGTCACTCTGTGTGGAAGGAGGGAGAACTAGCTAGTCCTGTGCTCAGCCAGCACTGTGCCAGTCTGGGCGGTTCGAACCCAGCTTGGAATTTGCAAGAAAGCCAGGCAGGCTGCTCAAAGCATTATTTCATTCTCTCCCGCGACCCCATTACTTCTTCAGCCCTCATCTACCCACACCCCATTCTTTTCCAAAAAAATCAGTTCTACAAAGGTAGAGTCCCGGTTACCCACGCCACAGTCAGCCTAACAGAGGGTGGCTATTGCTTCGGGAATTCAGAGCTTCAGAGAGCAGTGACAGCACACTAAACGCAAGCAAGGACAGGTTGTAAGACTGCAGGTCGTTAACAGGGGAACTCGAAAATTGCAGCGTCCCAGAGCACTTAGCTTAGACCCAAGCCCAGAGCTCCCAGTACAGGCTAGTAGTCCCAGGGGGAAACAATTGGGATTAATTTACATTGAAAAGCAGATGTTTTGTTTAAAAACATTAAGATGTACATATCCTATTTTTTAAAACATTGGTGTTTTAGGAACAAATTGCACTTCTCTTAAAAATTCTTAGGAACAGCTAGTTCTTAAGATCGGGTAAATGAACTGTAGACAGTGGTGGGGTCAACAAAAACAAAGAGCGAACATGTGTGGGCAGTCAGGTAGGGGACAGCAAATATGTGCTC